GGTTCTACGACATCAAAAGGTATCTTACAACCCAGGAGTATCCAGAAGGTGCTTCTATCACAGATAAGAAGACTTTACGGAAGTTTGCCGCCAAATTCTTCCTCAACGGTGATATTCTGTATAAGAGAAATTATGATTCCATCCTGCTCAGATGTGTGGATAAGCACGAGGCAAGTAGGATCATGGAAGAAGAAGAAGTGCATGAAGGTTCTTTTGGGACGCATTCTAGCGGGCATACTATGGCTAATAAAATCTTGAGGACAGGTTACTACTGGTCAACAATGGAAAATGATTGCTAAAATCGTTCTAGGATCTGGTACAAGTGGCAGATTTACGCTGACAAGATTCATGTGTCGCCCAATCCCCTGAACATCCTAACTTCACCTTGGCCTTTCGCGATGTGATGAATTGGTATGATAGGCCGAATTGAGCCAAACGCTTCCAATGGACACTGTTTCATTTTGGTGGCTATCGACTATTTTACTAAGTGGGTCGAAGCAGCATCTTATGCCCATGTCACTAAACAGGTGGTGGCACGTTTCATAGAGCATAACATAATATATCGTTACGGCATTCCCGAAAAGATTATTACTGATAATGGTTCGAACCTCAACAATAAGATGATGAAAGAGTTGTGTGAAAACTTTTAAGATAAAACATCACAATTCCTCTCCTTACCGCCCTAAGATGAATGGCGCGGTTGAAGCAGCAAACAAAAATATTAAGAAGATTATGCAGAAAATGGTCATCACTTATAAAGATTGGCACGAGATGCTATCATTCGCGTTACATGGTTATCGTACCACCATGCGTACCTCAACTGGGGCAACCCCTTTTTCGCTTGTTTACGACATGGAAGCAGTCCTGCCAGTGGAAGTGGAAATCCATTCTTTGAGGATAATGATGGATGCACAAATTGATGAGACCAAATGGGTCCAAAATAGATTCAATCAGCTGAATCTTATTGATGAGAAGAGATTAACGTCAATTTGCCAAAGATAGTTATACCAGAAGAGGATGAAGAAAGCTTTCGACAAGAGGGTACGTCCGCAGAATTCCCAAGCTGGTGATCTGGTGTTAAAAAGGATCTTACCTCCTAACAACACGGACGCTAGAAGTAAATGGGCTCCAAATTATGAAGGACCTTTGGTTGTAAAGAAAGTTTTCTATGGAGAGTCTATGATGCTCGCAACCATGGATGGAGAGGATTTCCCTCACCCTGTCAATGCAGATACGGTAAAAAAATATTTCGCATATGAGGTCATTGATTTGATCGGAACAAGACGTAGGTTTGGTCCAACCAGTCATTTGGAAAGCAAGTATTGAAGAATTCAGGGGGAGTGAGAGTTATAACAGAGTTGTACTTGAAAAAGTCTGTATTCACTTTCTTTTCTTTGTTTTATCTCCCCCCCCATATCTTTTGCTTGTGATTATTCCTTTTCGATAATTACTTTTCATTGTAAATACCTATTTACAGGCCACTCATTCAATAAAAGTGTTGGTTCAAATTACGCCAAGATTGTTTTTTCATTATTACTGTTTTGGTAAACAAAAGATGTTCAATATTTTCAATAAAACAATGCAAAAAAAAAACATTAAAGCTTCACAGCACGTGGCATCAGAGTACTCAAATATCAGGTGTAGGGACCAGTCCATGCTCAAGACGTGTTCTCCTAAGGTTTACCTCCGCAGAACAGGATCTCACAACCTAAGGATATTCTTACTAAAGATATGATGGATATTCGTTCTCAACTCAAGAAGTTTAAAGCATCCATAGATAAGAAGTGAAGTTACCAAACGTACTTTCTGAAGCAACGAGTCTGAACAGAGAGTAGTCTCCAATACATTTGCATTCTCATTTGTAATCTTTCTAGTTTTGGTTCAGTACTTTCTTGTATGCAAAACTTGCCTATTTTTGAATATTAATCACAATGCATTGAATATGTTTGTCTTGAATTAATCCATTCGTGTTCACTAATTAATTTTTTCCTTTGCTTTTTGATACTTAACTATTGTTAAATAAAGCAAAAAACCTCTGAAGGGAGGATGATGAATAAGGTGCCAAAGATTTCAAACAGTGTGCTTTTGAATAGGACCCTGCTGACGATGTACAGACCTTGTTTCAATCCCCAAACACCGGAGATATAAGGGAGTGAAACCCTTGTCAACCCATTTGAGCCTTGAAGTAGGAGTTTCTTTTATTTTCAGAAAAAACCTCACATTTAACCCGGGGCAGGGTAGATTTCAGTTAATCTGATTGGGTGTTCAAAACTCATTAAGAGTGCGCATTAAAGGATACAATAATGGTTATCCTTCAGAAGGCTGAGAAAGAACAAAACCACAATGGTTGACTCTCATCTATCAGCAGCGTGCATCAACGAGAATGATATCCCAAAGAGTATATCTCGCACATCAAGAGGTCAAAAGATGACGATACCATAATGGTTATTCCTCATCAACCAAGCAGTGAGGTAGTTACACCTTTTCAGCAAATAAAAAAAACGATTCGAAATCACACAACTGGTCCAAACTAAAAGAAAGAGACAAAAATCCCCGCTAAGTCAAAACTTGAAAAGACAAGTCGCTTAGGAAAAAGTCAGGGAATCCCGCTGGATTTCAAAGTCAAATTCGAAATGAATTTGTCCAGGCAAAAGTTAGGGAATACAAAAAGAAAGCGAAAAGCGTGAAAAATGAAAAGGGATTACCAAATAAAAATGCTCAGCAAAGAATAAAGTCGTGTGATCAGACACCAAGAGTGAAAGAGGTGAGTGACTACCATATCCTCCTCAACCATTGTGAACTCTTCTTGAGGGATGAGCGCTTGCACTAGTTTAATTGAATTTAGGACTGGAGAACATCGCGGAGAATGGGTGGGCACCAAATATTTTGAGCCTTAAATCCTTTTTTCTAAAAAAACCGTGAACCAGACCACGTTACAACCCTTAAAAGTCCTAACTGAAGCATGGGTTAATTTAAAAGCGCACTAATGAGAATACGGTAATCTGACTCCCATGAGGCTTGCTAAATCATTGGAGTCAGTATCATTCCATCTTTTACTTTCTTTCGCATAAAATTATTTTTTTAAAAATTTTCAGTAAAAGTTTCTTAAACTTCAAGCCAAATATGAGCTTTGCATTACAATTATCATTCTTAGAATAAACTTTCTTTGCATATGAACAAGTGCTTAAACATCGAGTAAGCTTGCATAATGAGCATCAGATGAAAATTTGATCATCTCAAGAGACAAATTGCTTCAGGATACTGTTTAAAGGTGAATCATTTGTGAGAATGGGGCTAATCTTTTGTTGACTCTGTTGAGGAAAAGAATATCAGTTTGAGAAATAATCTGAAGCAAATTGCAAAAGTTGGTTGCCCAGAGTCTCTGTCAAGCAGCGGTGCATTACTTTCAGTTTGTCCTAAGGTATATATTGCTTCAAGTATTTGCGCGAGAATGAAACAATTCATCAGTGAAGTGTGGTTGTGAAGTAACCTACTTTCTAGACATTAATCCAACTACTCTAAGGTTATATTGTCTTCAAAAAACCCTCAAGCTTTCATCTCTCCGTGAGCACAAGACAAAGAAAAGATCTGTCCAGATTCTATTAAGCAAGGGTAAGCGTGTCGAATACTCCGTCGAGTGGGTATTCAGCCAATCTGAGGCACTCAAATTGGGATTTTATCCCTCAAAGTACAGTCAGACTGGGGCAAGGCATTATGCAGGGGCATTTTCTCTTCTTCAGTAGTTAATCAGATCAAGTCCATACATAGGGTAAATGACTTATAAATGTGAAAATCATGCCGAGAAGTCAAGATTGTTATCTTTGACTTATCAGAGACTCAAGTCCATTTATTGATGTCCTTTGTACTAAGTCAAGGTTATTATCCTCAGTTGAAGTTTGGATTGTTATCCTATGTAAGATATAAACATTAACGCAATGATCATTTGGGGTTGTTTACTCATACAAGATGCGATGGAAATATTTCTTCCCAGGGTGATGCCTCTTCCCAGTAAAAGACCAGTTGCTACTTGACAAAGACCTGTCTACCAAAGGGTTTATCTTCTGAGATATTTTCTCCCTAGTGAAGCATCCTCATTTCTCTGCAGGAGGAGAATGTTTCTTTCTCACTGAAAATGTAGAAGTTGTTTAAAGTCTAGATGATTCCTTTTCGTTGGACTACAATTTATTTTTGCAACATCTTCTCTAAAGTCCACCTTTTAGTGGCATTCCTCCTCGGAGTCGGCATGTTGAAGTTGCAATCTTGCATCGCGATTTTTACCCAGTGATTGATAGTTCAAGTTATCTATTCTTCAGTAAGGTCTTACATTCCAAACAGGGGCATGTCCCCCCAATTTCTGTTTTGCAAGTACTGTTGGTCTTTTATGACAAGAAGCATGCCAACAAATGAATAAAGAAGGGTAGCGTGAGGATTTTCGAATAATGAGATCCATTTTCCCCAGTGGAACTATTCTTCTTTCCCTAATGGAGCAACTGTCCTATCTCACTGGTGAGGTATGTAGGAGAATTCCGGTCATAACTCTTTCGTTACCAGTGATAAAAGATTTTGTTAAGATATCCCTAGTGGAGTTTCTATCCCGGGATGTTTGTTTCTTCTCCAAGAGAGGATCTTTTACCACCCAACGATGTTACCCCCGGTGTGGCTTGTGTAGAATTATTTTTATTTAAGAATTCCTATACTTCCCAACGGAAGTTATCTTTGTCAAAGAATTTCTATGCCAGAAGTTTCCATTCCCAGCAAAGCTTTTCTCTTCCCAACAAGAGGATAAAGAATTTGTTCCCCGCAAAGTGGGAAGTTTGATCATAATTCAAGATTTTCTCTGAACTGCAATTTATGTTTGCAGCATTCTTCCCAGGAAGTTACTTCCCCAGTAATATCGATCTTTAGAGGTTGGTGGTTCCAAATCTCGGTTCCCCATTGAAGTACAAATTTCCTTTTCTCTACAGAAGATCGGATGTGCAAGAATAATCAAAGAACGGGGCATGAACAACAAGCTTGCCGAGCATATTCAGAAATTCCTGAAGAGACTGGTTGATGATCACAGATGCATTGACCTTGAGTGGCTCAGAGACGTTCCACCTGACCAAGAAAAAGAGTATTTGCTGAGCGTACGAGGACTGGGATTAAAAAGTGTGGAGTGTGTGCGCCTGTTAACACTGCACCATCTTGCCTTCCTGATAAACACAAATGTTGGACGTATATCAGTACAATTGGGATGGGTACCTCTCCAACCACTGCCTGAGTCATTATAGTTGCATCTCCTAGAAATGTACCCAGTGTTGGAGTCCATACAAAAGTACCTCTGGCCTCATTTGAGCAAGCTAGATCAGAAAAAATTATATGAGCTACATTACCAGATGATTACATTTGGAAAGGTCTTCTGTAAAAAAAAGAAAACCAAATTGCAATGCATGCCCAATGAGATCAGAATGCCGACACTTTGCTAGTTCATTTGCAAGTGCAAGACTTGCCCTGCCTGGACCAGAACAGAAGAGTATAGTAATTGCAGCTTGAAATAGTGTGCCCAATGAAAACCCACCAGTAGTCATGAGTCAAAGCAGTTCCCTAATGGAAAAATTGAAGAATACCATGCTTCTTCAAGAGATGCAATTGAAGGGTATGCGAAGAAGCCTTTCATTTGCTATATAGAAATTGGTATTTCTGTTACGACTCAAGACACACATAAAAGAATCAATCACAAAAGTTAGATTTCAACCAAAATACCAACTCCAACCAATATCTTAATAGCTTCAACAAAATTCCCAACAGTTTCAATTTCCAAACTCCTTCTAACCACTTTTTCCAGCTAGCAAAACAGAATTGTAACAGAACAATCTATAACAAACTCTCAAACTTCAAACTGATTCCATAACTGACTATAACAAATTTTTTCTTACAGTTTATTAATTAACTATAAACATTTTCTAACCACCCTCATAACGGCCCTGCAAACTTCTAAATCACCAATCAAATTTCTAACTTCTAGTCTCTAACCTATAACTAACACATCTAACTGAATTTTACCTCTAACTAACTCATTTTGCTAACCTTCATCTCACGATTTATTCCTTAACCGACTCCCCAATCTAACAACCAAGATTCACTCTCCATAACTAAATTCAGATCCTCAACAAACTATATAACCATCTTCTTCCCCATCATTCAAGGTCTTCACCATTATTTCTCTCAATTTCAACCATCTCCCCCATGAACCATTTTCTTCACCTCCACCCTCAACCTTCATCTTCTTCAACCCTCTTCAATTATAATCGCACTCTGCAACTTTACCTCCAACCACTCTCACACTACAACCTCACCATCTTCCTGAAACCACGAGCTCAATCCTCACGTTCTGCAAAAAACCACCATTCACCAACCATTCCTCAACAATCACCTTCATCACTCTCTCTGCAACTTCATTCACAGACTCATATCGTGCCTTCACCTCATTCATCTCAATAGCACCATGCGTAAAAGCAGAGAACAGGAAGAAGAACGCGCAAGCAAAAGAAGAACGCGCAAGCAGAAGAAGCGAGTGCACAAGAAGAAGAACTGAAAAGCTTACATGTTTGAGATTTCTCGTCATCGTGGCTGTTGAAGAACCACTGGAGTTCTCTGGTAGGTAAGAAGTTCCTCTTCCTCATCACATACACTATTTTCGTGTCCATTATTTGAATCGGAGAGCAATATCTCCATGATAGAGTGACACTGAGGTTGAGAATCGGAGATGAAGTCGAGGCTATTGCCGGCACCATCAAAGGGAACGAAGAGGAGTGAGTTTGTTCTGAATGATGGAGAAGCCAAATCCTTAGTTCCTCTTTCTTTGTTTTTTATTTATTTCTTTTCTGTTATTATTGATAAAACAAATGTAGAAACAATTAAAAAAAATTAATAATGATGTTGTTGGACTACTCCTTGGGCCGAATGGCACAGCTTAGGCTGGTTATACGTTTTTTGGAAGGCCTGGTGTAGAAGAAAAAAAAAAGGGCCTTGTTGGACTCATAAGTCAAGCCTAGCGCCCAATTTCTTCAACAAACCCCTGAATTACTAACTTAGACCCCCTGAGTTTAGTATTTTCTTTAAAAATGTTTGTGCTAATTATTTTACTTTAACTTTATTCACATAATAAAAATAATAAAAATTCAATGAAAATTATTAGATTTCAAATTTTGATTTGTTTAGGAATTAAGTCAGGATCAACCGATTATTTTAGATTTATAATTCACCTTTGCTTGTTGAGATTTAAATCTTGTGCAGGTTTATGGTGCGATATACGGATATGCTTGAAATTCCGATTGTGATTTATTTTCACATCGATGATGCTTCAACAATTATTCTGAATATTGGATTTCTGACTCTTTTCTTTGTTGATGATAGCAGCTCGCGAGATCATCGGGTTTCTTTACTTTTTGCTTTGCTCTACGGGCTAGTACTCATTTGGTATATTTTCTTTCTATTTTCACCTAGCATTTATCTCTTCCCATAGGTCATATGAAGTATGATAACATTAGGTTTAGAAGTAGGTTAGTCTGCCTTTGACTTTTCTTCTCCTTTTGCATTTGCACTAAAACAAAAAAAACTTCTTCTTTTTTTCTCACAAACTTCAAAAAATACTTAAAAAAATTTGCTGACGAGAATCGTGCCTTTGTTGAACATGGGAATTGATAGGCGGGTCTCTTCTCGATCTTATCGTTTTTCCATTCTAAGCCTTGGCATGGTTCAAGTCTCAAAGAATCATTTCATGAATAAGTGGAGAAATGACTAAAATCTCTCTCTTAAGATTAACTAGCTATTATCCGCAAGCAAAAACACCAACAAACACAAAACTCTTTTTGCCTTTAGGCTTTCCTTTCAAACTCTTTTCAAAAGAAAAAGTTAATTCACTTCTGTGCTGACGCGTTAGTCTCCAAAGGTCGAGTTGCGGCAAAAGGCGAAATTAATATCGTTTATAAAAAACCCAAACAGATTCAAACCTTTTTATGCGCCCAAGCACATTTTTCAAAAGAGCATGTTAATTCACTTCTGTGCTGACGCGTAAGTCTCCAAAGGTTGAGTTGCGGCAGAAGGCAAAATTAATATTGTTCATTAAAAAATACAAACAAACAAAAACATGTGAGCCGAACTACGGCTACTCTAATTCCTTAAAAGGGATACGTAGGAATTGGGGTAGGGCCCGAACGAGCACAACTTTATTTTTCCCTACATTCTTTCCCCCTTTCTTTTGCATGCATTCTCCCTTAAATAGTATAGTAAACAGAAAGCATAGATTGAACACACCCATAAGATAGACAACAAGAGTGGATACCGTAGAGTACGACGGGCGTGTGGGGTGCTAATACCTTCCCCTCGCGTAACAGTCTCCCTTACCCTTATCTCTCGGTCGCAAGACCATGACTTTCTCCCTTCTCAGGTTTTCTTGATGTTTACATTTCCCTACATGTGGGATAAAAGACGTTCGATGGCGAATTCATTGTTTGATTATTTTTAGCCGGTTGTTTCAATGTGTTACTTGTAAAAGGGTTAACAACTAACCTAATAAGTATAAGCCAACTATGTGTCATGAAAGGAATCAGATCTAAAGACAATTGTTATCTATGGGTTCCTCAAGAGTTAAACCTCTCCTCAATATGTGCTTCAGCCAAAGAGAATGAGGTTAAACTATAACATCAAAAATTGGGGCACTTGCATCTGAAAGGTATGAAGAGAATTATATATGAAGAAGCATTGAGAGGGCCTCCTAAGCTCAAGATAGAAGAAGGAAGGGTATGTGGTGACTGTCAAATTGGAAAGCAGACTAATATTTCACATCATAAGATTCAACATCTTATTATATCAAAAGTATTGGGACTTCTTCACATGGACTTGATGGGACCTATGCAAGTTGAAAGTCTTGGTGGAAAAAAGTATGCCTATGTTGTTGTAGATGACTTTTCTAGATACACATGGATAAGCTTTATTAGAGAAATATTAGAAACTTTTGAAGTGTTCAAATATCTTTTTCGAAGACTTCAAAGGGAAAAGGAAAGTCATGTCATAAGAATCAGGAGTGATCATGGAAAAGAATTTGAGAAAAACAAGTTTGCTGAGTTTTTCTCCTCTGAAGGAATCAACCATGAATTCTCTTCTCCCATTACTCCTCAACATAATAGGATTGTAGAACGCAAGAATAGGACTCTCCAAGAACCTGCCAGAGCCATGATTCATGCTAAGAAGCTACCCTACCATTTCTGGGCTGAAGCTATGGATACTGCATGCTATATTCCTAACAAATTCACTCTAAGGAAAAGCACTTCAGCTATTTTGAATTAAATATGGAGGGGAAGAAAACCAACTGTAAAATAATTTCATGTTTTTGGAAGTAAATGTTACATCTTAGCTGATCACAAACAAAGAAGGAAGATGGATCCCAAGAGTGAGGAAGGAATATTCCTGAGATACTCTACAAACAACAGAGCATACTGAGTGTTTAACTCTTGAACCAAAGTAATTATGGAGTCAATAAATGTTACTTTTGATGATATAGGATGGAATGTTGAAGAAGATGTCTCAGAAGATGTTGGAACATATTTTCCTGATAGTCCAACTGAATCAAATGACACAATTATTGGCTTTAATCCTCCTCAAGAAGATCTCCAGCCTAGTCAGCTCAATAAAGGAACTTTAATCAGAACTCAAAAAGATCATCCTAAGGAGCTCATCATAGGAGATCCAAACAAAGGAGTTACTACCAGATCAAGAGAAGGGATTTCTAACTCTTGCTTTGTATCAAAAATTGAGCCTAAGAATGTCAAAGAGGCCTTAATTTATGAGTTCTAGATTAATGATATGCAAGAGGAGTTGGAACAATTCAGTAGGAATGAAGTTTGGGATCTGGTCCCAAGACCTGAAGGGACAAATGTGATTGGCACTAAATGGGTATACAAGAATAAATTTGATGAAAGGGGGTGGTCACTAGAAATAAGACAAGCTTAGTTTCTCAAGGATACACTCAAATTCAAGGAGTGGAATTTAATGAAACCTTTGCTCGTGTGGCTAGACTTGAATCAATTAGACTTCTGTTTGGAGTTGCATGCATTTTTAAATTTTGTTTTAAATGGATGTAAAATGTGCCTTCTTGAATAGATACTTGAATGAAGAAGTTTTTGTTGAACAACCAAAAGGATTCGTTGATCTAAGTTTTCCTAAATATGTCTATAAAATGAAGAAAGCTCTGTATGGATTGAAGCAAGCTCCAAGAGCTTGGTATGAGAGA